ACATGTCCAGAGTATATGAGAGGAAGTTTCCCCACAGAGGGACTTAAGCACAGTTGTTGCTAGTAAGAACAGGAACATATATTTGGGAAAAGAAAAAGGAATAAAAATACCAGTTCTAAAATGATGGCACTTGGCCTGTAAGTCTGTTTGTAAACAAGCATAGCCTGTTTTGTTGCACTTGGCTTTCCCAGACGTCATCTTTTTCACACATTGCAAGTCCGCGGCCACTCTGTCTCCAACAAGCTTGGCAGAGTTGTTTCCCCAAGAGCTTGTGCTCACGCCGTGTCTCTGTGTCACATTCTGGTCAATCTCACAAGTTCTCACACTTGTTGATAGTGCTGTGTTGTACACTTAACAGGTGCAGTTGAGGGTCAACGTGACTCTTCTATGTACTGGGAAATGAAAAAAAGAAAAAAAAAGTGTGTGACTCTGTGTCAAAATGTGCTTTATTCCAGCAGTCAGGACTGAAGCTGCAGTTACTTATCTCACCCCGCTGCTGGCCGATTGCTACCAGCTCACCAACAGAGAGGCCCCATCAGGTCACGGAACCTGCACGTAAAGCTTTACAAGAGCACACTGCCCATTTCTCTCCTACAGATTGGGGTGTGTGTGTTAGATTGTAGATTTGAACTTCCAGTTCTCTCTGTTTCTGCCTATCCATCCAGGCAGAGAGAAATACATCTTAAGGAAATGGCTCATTTGTTCAAAGAGCTGACAAGTCACAGTGGGTCAGAAGTCAGGATAGTGGTTTCTTCTGACTCATGTAGCTTCAGAGGCTGATGAATCCAAAATCACCGGGCAGTGTGACAGACCACTGGTGGCTCAGGCTCGGAGAAACAGAGGTGTCGAGCCAGACACAGGATTCAGACCAGTGTGTGTGTGTGATGTTGTTAGATGCTGTTGAGCTGGCTCTCCAACTTGTGGCAACCCTGTATACAACCAAGTGGAACCTGCTTGGTCCCAAACCATCCTCAGATTCTCCGTCTTACACACACCTTTGTCACAATCACTGTGTCAGTCCATCCCTTCTGTTTTGAGGACCTTCAGCTTTTCCAAGCACAACGTCCTTGTCTAAGGACTGTCACCTTCTAATAACACCCTCAAATTTATATGAAGCAAAATCTCACAGCTGTTGCTTCTAAGGAGCGCTCTGCAAGTATTTGGTGATGTGTCAGGTTAACGATCAACTTCTCTGTTCAGTTCAGTTAACTACCCAGAAAGGTCTGCGTGGATGGAGCCACAAAGCTGACTGGCTCCCTCAAAGTCAGGGCTCCCTGTAGTCACTGGGGAATGTGTTCTTCTCTACCAGCTGGGTTTTCTTGAAATGTCAAAAGAGCATTTAAATGCACACATAAGACAAGCAGTTCAGAATTCCATCTTCTCTGCTGGACCTCCTCAGAATGCTGATCTCTCTCCTCTGACATGATGCCTTAGCTTGCACAGCCACCTTGGTTTGGCCTTGTCATTGTCAGAAATTTGTTATCTGATGCAAACCAATCCTCGGCTGTTTTGTCTATTCTGGACTCAGCGACCTACAGGATAAAGGGAATTAGTGGCTGAGGTTGAGGGGCAGAGAGAGGAGTGGAGAAGCTCTGCTAAGGATTGTGGGATTTCTTTGAGGAATGATGACAATGTTCTCAAACTAGAGCGTGGTGATGGATACACATGTCCTGTCCCCACCTCCTGAGTTCACTGCCTGCCTTCAACACACAGGAAGTTCCGGAGGGAGACTGGAGCATAGGAGAAATGGAGAAGCTAGGATATTTCCTGTCCTCTCTGTGCATGAGATGACGGCTTAGTTCTCTTATGCTGCTTTACCAAAAACACCACAAGTGGGTGACTTTATCAAATAGATTTATTCTCGCACCATGCAGGAGAGTAGATGTTCAGATGCGAGGTGCCTGTTCCACGGGAAGCTTCTTTCCGCTAGCTCTGGGCAGAGATCTTGGCATCTGCCATCCCTGGGCCTGGGAAGTTCGTAAAGCAGAGCCCCTGGGTTCAGATGACAAGCTCCACCCCTGGCTTTTCTGTCTTTGTGATAGGACGTCCCTTATCTAATCTCTTTTGCACCTCAAAAGAGATTGATTCAAAGTGCTGTCTAATTTGGAGCAGGTTGTTGTGCTGGTTGGAACCAACCCATAGCTGATGCTTCAGGGGGTTTCAGAAGCAGTAAGTCACATGTGAGGAGACTGCCCATTTTTCTCTGTGGAGCAGCTGGTAGATTTGAACCACATACCTTTGCTTTGGCAGTGCACTTCCTTTCCACAACGCCACCAGAGCACGCTATCTAGAGAAGGTAGTTGGAATAAATGGCCAGTTTCTTGGTTAGCAGTTTAATTTTTAATCACTGTGCCACCAGGGCCCCATCACACACATGTTGTTGTTTTTACCATTGAGTCAGAACTGACCCATAACTGACCCTCCAGCGGGTTTACAAAGGCAGCAGATCACCCCATCGGTCTTCTGTGGAGCAGCTGGTGAATTTGAACTGCTGGCCTTACAGTTGGAAACACAACTTACCACGAAGCCACCAGAATTCCCTACACACATCATAGCGGTTAGGATTTATAAAACAAAGGTTCATTACATCAGATCAGAAACTTGGCTGATCGTACAGTCTTGGACCAGTTGATACATTTTTCGGGGGAACACAGTTTAATTCATGGGCAGACAGCATCTCCTCCTGCAGTGACTCCGACTTTCTCTGTTGCTCCAGTCCCCACCCATTATTCCCAGTTCTGGGCTCTGGTGACACCACCTCTTCTCATTGTCTCTCCTGTTCTGGGAGTGAGAATGTGTTCTTCTTGTCACTAATCTCTATATCTGACTTCTTAGATTGTCCCACATCTGGTACCTAGTTTCTCCATGTTCATGTCCCACCTTTTGAAACACATAGAGTGGTTTTGGGTTTACTTTTACAAACCTTTTATTATCTGAGTGCACGTTTACAGAGCAGATTGGCCTTCCACTCAAGCATTCTGTGTGTTTTATTTAAGGACCTTGGCACAGTGTCCATATTGTAACAGCACGCTTCTGCTGCCTCTCACTCTTCTGTCCTCTCGCTTCTTGCCTTCTGGGCTTTGTCCTTGGGCAAAGGCTGCTCTTTTTATCTTGTAGAGTTGATTGTTCTAAGGACTAGGTACCTCCCTGCAGTAAATACTTACCATACAGGTGTGACTATTGTTTGATTAGGGAGCTCCGATGGCATAGTCTATAGGAAGTCTTTTGCCCACCCAAAGTTGACACCTCTCTGGCAATTCAAATCCACACTAGGAAGTCGGGAACTCTCCTATGAGATTAACAACTTACTGAAAATGTGCTGGAGGGTCAGTTCTGACTTGATAGCAGTGAGTAAGATTGGTTTAAAGTTGTCACCAGAGTTAGTTCAGTCTATCTATCTAGCTATCTATATCCTGATAGGAAAATCTTTCTTAGGGATATATTAACAACTGTTCCTTCCAGTATTACATGAAACTGCTGGTTTCTTCCTTCTGTAGCAATATTATGATCTCCTGAGAAAGGGAGGTTTTGGTTACATTTTAAGAAACATATGGACATGAAAGGGTGGTTGTTGCGATTTGAGGTGGTCCTCAGGGTCAGGGAGGTCCTGTTGTGGGTAGGATCTTGTGCCAGGGAAGAGATGGGAAACAGCTGAGACACAAGAGCGAGGGTGTGGTGGGGAGGGTGTAGGAAAGAGGACTAAGGTTTGCGCTTAGGTGCTTGGCCAAAGGTTGACAGGTGGCACTGCAGAAGAAAGACCTGTCTATCTGTTTGGATATTGATGACAGCCAAGGAAACACTAGGGAGCAAGCTCCTCTCAACCCTGTGGGGTTGCAGGAAGCAGTAATGGAGTAGAGGAGGCCACCACAATGAATAATGCCCATTCAGGATGCATAAAGAGCAGGCGTCTAGAGATGTGCGTGGAAGAGAGGTTGTTACACCGGGAAAATCACATTGAAACTCTGGCTGGAGATTGATGCGCCCTGGAGGACTTTGCCTGACCAGACTTGATAATTTAGTTTATTCAGTAGGAAGCAGATTCACCACAGAGAAGTGACATTGTTTATATTCTATTTAAAGTAAGAACTCATGGCCTCTTCATAGTGAACTCAAGGAATTAGGCGTTTTCATTGGTGTATGCATTAGTTTTTCCTTCTATTGCACGATATGGTTTTTATTTTATTTGTAGTTCAGCATTACTCTTCTGTCCCTCAATAGGGGCGAGGGGAATTCATGGCCTCCTGCAACTGGCATTTGTGAAGTTCTCCGGGGGAAAAAAAGTGCTTATTTGTGTATTTAATAAGCCAAAGAAGTAAATGGAACTCCCAAACGTTTGAGTTTAAAATGTAACAATAATGAATGAAAATCTAACTTTTCTGTAAACTTTTGTTAAAATGACAATTATAATAAAAAAT